TCTGTCTGTCTGTCTGTCTGTCTGTCTGTCTGTCTGTCTGTCTGTGTGTGTCAATCTGTTCCAATGATATCTAATTTCATAAATGAAAGTTGGTTAGCAAATACTCTTGAATAACTTGCAGATGTGATAATCTTTTGGTTGAAATCTGCATATTAATTACACAATTTTCATATTAATTAGCCATCAGAGGGATTTCAATGAAAATTGGTGCACAGATTCTCTAATGTAATCGACTGACCTAATTAGTTGATGGATAAAAACCATGCATAATAATTTCCAAATATGCATAATAAGTAGTCATTATTCAGCTGTTCCAATATCTTGAACTGCTGAACATTGAGATTAAAAAACAGAACAACTTGGTAAGAACTATAGTAAGGACTGGTTACTATAATTAAAAAAAAATAAACCTCTGGTTTATCAGGTTCCGGTTTACAGAATACTTTTGTAGTAGACCTTAACTATGTTAAAAACAGTGTCTCAGTTTTAGATGTTCAATGGTGTTTGACAATGTCTTGCTTACATTACCAGGAAGCACAGGCATATGCCGAAGACAATAGTTTATTATTTATGGAAACGTCTGCAAAAACAGCTATGAATGTGAATGATATCTTTTTGGCGATAGGTAAGTAATTTATTTCTCCTTAGCATACATTTCCACATTTCGAACTTGCGCTGCAATTACTGGGTTTAAATTTCGCTGATTTACCATTTCAGGCATATTCAGTGGGTTTTAAATTTGCAGTTTTATCATTTAGATAATGTGTTCTTTGCTAAATTTTACATATTTACTGGGTTTTAATTTAGCACATTTTCCAGTCAGCGAAATAAGCAAAATTAAAACCCAGTTTATAATTAACCCTTTTCGAGTACTGATGGAAATTCTTCTTTTATCAGTCATAACGCACACAATTTTCAATATTATTTTAACAGGGTTCTTGTTGTCAGAGTATTAATATCAATGAACGAACACTCACTTATCATGCCCTCTTCTTCAATTGCAGCCAAGAAACTCCCTAAAAGTGAATCTAGTAGTCAGGAATCGGGTGGACGCAGAATAACGCCTGATCAATCAGGGGATCATTCATCGGGTGGCGGTGGCAGCGGTTGTTGTAAATCTTGAACATGTATAATGCACACTTATGAAGATTCATCATACAATATATACAAGATTTGCTTTTATTTTCCCTCCCAATATCTACTTCCCGTATTACAAGTTAAAAAAACATCAGAGTCCTGCTTGTACATTGGCTTATGGGAAAGTGGTCAATTTACTTTGAGTGCTGGTGGCTGAGAACAGAACTTGATCTTGGGAGACCGTAAGAAGTCTTACTGTACATAGTATCTAGATTGTATAGATGTAGGATGCCAGTCTTTATATATCAAGTACAATGTTAAATGAATTCCATATTTTATGTTTTATGAATGACCTAATAACTGTGGAAAATCCCCCTCCCCCTTAACCTGGTCTTTGTGGTTGGGTCTCATGATAATCAGATGCTGTGAAATTTCTTTATATAAATAGCACTGTGATTTATCACATTACATAACTCAAAAAAATAAAAATTTATTAAAATACGGCCTAATGAGCTTTGCTTTGCTTTTGTGTAGGAAATGTTGTATATTTAAATTTTTTTTTTTTTTTTTTTAATGGGCATGCAAGTTTATTTTATTAGAGGGATCTAACTCGATTCATTGATCAGTATTGAATAATTAAATGTACATGCCCGTTAAGTTTTCTTAATTTAAATTCAGAAAGTTTTTGAAGATTGCTGGAACACTATTGTATAAAAATTGTAGTCTTCATAAAACGTTACAGACCTGTTACATTTTGGTGTTTTGTTGTATTGTAGTTGTGTATATGGGGGCTTTATGCTATTGATACTTGCATTTATTGTGCCCATGCTTCCGATAACAAAGTATAATCTCTGTATTTAAGCCAATGCATACACATTCATGTATATCAAACCCTTTGACTTATTTCAGAGTAATATTTACAGTCAATTATTTTAACATTGCAATCAGGCACCCACTTGTCATTGTCTTCAGATTGTCTTATCTGGTGAAAAAGAATGATGCCTATGTGAAATTTCACTCGCTGTTCAATCGTGTCGACGTCTTTGTCAAATTTATGTCCACTTTTTTTCTGGAGAATAAATGAAAATGCAGATATTGTTTATTAGGTGTGGTGCTGAGATAGTGCGATATCCGCTGCAACCTTGTTCAAAACAGTGGTGCACTTTTTGATTTTGAGGGGACACTTGCACTTGTTTATTGCACCACTGTTTTGATTGCGATTGTAGCACAATTAGTTAATGCCATGACCATTCCTTCATTCTATTTTGTAGAATGTTAAAAAAAACAAAATGTACTTGATGTGTTTACAGCAGAAACGTTTTTGTAGCTATTGAAGATTGTTGTACATAAAGCTTTATATGCAATATACATGTTGCTGAAAGATGGACCACATTTCTCAACCCTTGTCAGTGTCTGCATCTGAGGGAATTATTCATGGGGGTTTAAAACTGAAATTGGTTCTTACAAAGCTAGCTTAATGAATGTATAAACTAGTAGCCCAATAAGTTGCAGTGCACATTATTGGTCTAGATGCAGGATATACATGTACTGACTTGACGCGACGCTTGCTACATTTGGAGGATACGATTGCAGCTTGTCTAATTCAGTTGTAGCCTGCAACTGTCAAATGGCTTGCTTGGTCAATCAATGTGAAAGAGTTTGACTGTTTTAGTTTGGGCTAATGAGAAGTACTGTACATTGCAAGATTGTAACGTTGGTACATTCATCAATTTGCTTTACTTCAAATGCCTACTCGCTGTGATTTGGATGCAAGACTCTTGTAGTGAACCAATGTAAAGTTTTCCTTACAAGAGTGTCTCAGTGGAGTGCCACTGCTGCCTTAAGATTTTTAGTCCAGTTCAGACATGTAGACTTGACATAACTATTAACGGTTTTAAACATGAATACAATATTGGCTCCACTCGATGTGTATCTGAAAGACGCATTTCATTATCCAACCCAACCCACAAAATGTTTGCTTTGTAATTGTAGCTTCCAACTGAACCTGTAGCTGTGTCTGCCTTCTGGAAGAGTGAATGTGGTACTGTGTAGTCTGTCAAGTTGCATGCTGCAAGCCAACATGTGAAATGACTAGTCTTGAACCAAGCTTTCGAATCTCCATTGCAGACAGATATCCCCCCACTCATTATTAAATGACTAGTGTGTCTGGCATGCAAAATTTTTTATATAAAAATGCTTACGACAGTATACAACTAACAATAAACAAATCCTCTCATAATTCTATCTTGTTGCATGTTTGTTTTTGCCTTGTTCTTCAACAGAAGTTCAGGGCAAGGTATAGTTGGCAAAACGTCTGTCGCTGGTTTTCTGAGAGCTTGAAGTTTGCCTTTGATCTATTTCAATACATCTGGACTTGCTGAGAAATTGATGTGCCACACATAATTTGGGATTGCAAACAATGAAAATGTTTGAGCTTGATTAGTTATTGAATTTCCTTTCATGATTTAGTTATTGAAATCTGCCCACTGTAATGGATCAATGCAGTTTACTGTCATTTGATATTTACAAATGCATGTCCCTTGGGTGAACTTCTTAAATATATTCATATTGTGATATCTTCAAGACATTTCTTTTTTACTTACAACAAAAATTTGTTACTTTGTCAAATATTTTCGACTTATTGAAAACTGACAATCAGTATGGTAACTGTGAAAACCTCATTCTGCAGTGAAATACTTCAAAGGGCGGTAGTAGTCGTGCTGCGCATGTGTGGTGATAAACATAGATTTTCCCACAATCCAATGCGCTCTTCTAATGGGAATCGCAAGGATGAGGTTTGATCTGGGCGCGACTGGAACTAATTACCGCCGGTGACTCCTTCGATACATTCCAATCACCTAAAAAATACCTAATTGAAGCTTGGTAAGGTCTCTGTTTGTACTCCTTGATCTGCACAACAGCCAAAGTCGCCATCTTTGTTTATGAGACCATATATCTCGCGCATGCATGGCGCGACAACTACCGCCCTTTAAATATATTCATTTGCAGGTGATTGTTTTTTCATTTAAACTGATCTTTGACACAATATTTTTAATCCAACCACCGCATGTTGAAGATTAATAAATTTGGTTGAATTCGATGTAAGTATTTGAAAGTTCAAATTCAAAAACTGCTTGTTCATAATGACGTACATTTGATAGTGTGTACTGAAGTTTGCCAAATTTGGAGCGGGAGTGATCATAAACTAGGGTTTCAAAAGTGCAATGCACACTTAGCCCACTGGCTGTTTTCTAAGTAATTTATGCCTGTATTGTTCTACCCGGACTGTTTTTAATGTAGTTATGGGGTGGTAATTACTGTTAGCCCTTTCCTTTGTACCTGCCTCATAATAAGCAGGATATCTCTGGAGATGTTTCCGTAAAGACTTTCCATATTATCACCCCTACCCATACCCTCCATAGTCCCCAAATTAATTGCATATGCCATTCTCGAGAACGGGCATAGTTATCCAGAAGGTCATGCACAACTAAATTGTGGGGATGAAGGGTGTACAATGGAAAGCCCTACCATCGTTTCAAATTTGTCATGCCATATCTATAGGTTGTAGGTTATGGAACTACTGGTAATAATCAACCGCCGATCTTTGTACGAAAGTTGTGTAAGGAAATTTACAAGTTCAAGAATACAAAACAATTACTAAAAAAAAAACTGACAAGTGCATTACGCTACATAGTCATATTGGTAGGGAAAGATATTTGGATTCCATTGTATGTCTGGTATTACAAAAGAAGTGAGCACAATCAGCATCGTTGCACCCACCATACTGTGCATCATTCTGAACCATAATCAAGTGGTTTCCGTTTGAAACCTGATGCGTACATCAGACATGTGACATTGATACCATCACAGATATTAACAGTTTTATTGTATTTATCTACAAACTCATATCTGCCCCAAAATACCGTTTGTATATCAAAGTTGAATGCAAGGTTGACGTATAAGTGGAAATATTATGCAGTGGTAGTTAGGAGCAAGAGTGTATCTATATATGGAGGACTCCTAAAATCAATTTACTATGATAAATGCATATTGATTTCCAATTCTTCTAATTTACGGTTAATTTTAAACTTTCATCATGTATTTATAATGTCTACGTTTCCGTAGGATGTTCTTCCCCATCAATCAATATACATCCCCCATTTCATTGTTTAACTTGTATTTCAATCTGTGTTAAACACAATTTAGGTTATGCTATGAACATTTTGATATTTCTTTATTTATCAGACATAATTCTACAAAAGAAGATAATAGTATCGATATGTGCTTCATTTATCTACGTCCAATAAGAGCATAGCCAACAACAGAGACCGCAGTAGGGATTCGGGAAATAGCTGTGTCTGAGCTTTTGGGGGAGGTTTTCAAGTTGGGATATTTTCAAATTAAGGATGTAAACACGTCAAGACCGTAGGTTAATCTTGGTAGAACATATGTTCAATATTTTGCAAGTTATCTAAGTGTTTTAATCACTATTCCTACGTTGTACTCGTGCGCACACACGTGCGTATAATGCCATACGGTAGGATGAGTTGTGTTACACGATCTTTAGAGTTCCGCAGAAAACCAAACTGAAGATGATTGGAGGATTGCAAGTGTGGCACTTTTAGTTGGGATGTAAAGTGGTTATGAATAATGTTAAGGAAACACGTTGTCTAGTATACTAGTCAGGTGGGATGGTGTTAATAACACCCACACATATAGACGCGGGACAGATAATGTGACCAAAACTCGCTTCAAAAGTTTCACATGAAAGTCAAGAAGAGGGTCGATAAACTGTTGGCAATGAATCGTTGATATAATTCCAACTTGTATAATACCTTACACGATGTTGATTGGGGGGTTTAGATTATTTCATTGTAGAAGAAGGAGCAAGAATGATGAAGAAGACCGGATAAGAACAGTTTTGCAAATACAACTTTTCAAGGAGAGAGTTATGTATGTCAAGTATCGTCAACAAGTAAAATGAGATTGGAGTCTGCAGTTTTAGAAGAGCAGCATTCGTGAAGAAGTGTTTTATAGTGAAGCCACGTTGAAGAACTAACGAGAAATAGTTTTTGTTTAAATACTGTAATAGAACGTTTTCAATAACTATATAAATGATCAAGATGACTGTAACTCCTCTGGGCAAGTGAATGTGATTTTTAGTAAATATGCCTTTATTCTGGATCCTAAGAATGTTGCACTTTGTGAGAATGTTATTGACAAGTCTAGTACGAGAAATTGCTACTGTTTGACTGGCCTAAGCAAGATGTTCTGCAGATAGGTTCGAGTTGTCCGGCACTTATTTTCGATTGAGTGATTTTAATTTAATGTTGGATGTTCTTATTTGTCTTTTTCATGTATGCAAATGTTACTGATTAAAGGGAGTAGTCGTCACGCCACGCATGCGCGAGATATAAGGGTAACATATAAACAAAGATGGCGACTCTGACTGTTGCGCAGATCCACGACAATACAAAACTTTAATGGGGATATTTTTAGGTGGTTGGAAGGTATCGAAGAAGTCACTGCATTTGATTGTGGGAAAATCAATGTTTATCAACACAAATTTCGCACATGCGCAGCGCGACGACCAGCGCCCTTCAAGCTAAACATCTGAAAGGCAATATTATATTGATTTGAATTAGATGAGTGAGTGAGTAACATTTGTGGTGGACATCATATCTTGAGAGTATTCAGCGATATATTCAGGAGTTTCAGCAGCGTTTTTTTCCCCATTTGGTTCATATTTGTTATTTATTTTTAATTAAGTTGTAAAATGTGCATTCATTATCATAATCAGTGGTTTTGTTGTAGAGCTTTACAACATGAATTGATTTGAGGGATTCTAGCAACAACTCTCGATCCCCGAAATGTGCTCCCGTTTCAAACTATTGTAACGTACTCCGAAATGACTTCATTTTAGAGAATGTGCACATGCGCAAATTAGCAGAAACATCTCTTTGGGTATTCCTTACAAGTCAATATATTATTGTTGTGAGAATATACTTGTGAGTGAACTTGAAACGTTTTGAATTAGCGACAATACTGTAACATTCAAATCCAAGTACACTATCGAGTAATTTATCGAGGGGGCGTCATTTAAAAATATCCTTTTTTTTTTTAAAGAGTGACAGAGTAACGTCAGATGGAGGTAAATTTGGGTGTTATGACTACAAAATTCATAGCGATGGCCTACTTTGGTTATGCAGTCATTCGTCGTTAAAAGGCAGTGGTCGTCGCGCCATGTCCTCTGTTACATTTAAAATATGGAGGTTGCCTTCAAAATCTGGTTTGTTTACTATTCCCACCCGGAGCCCTATCTGGGGCACAGCCACTGTATATATTTACAAACACTGTGAACAAATTACGTCCAAATATGTTGATATGTGTGAAACATGGAAAGAATGCTTTAAATTCGCAAATTGGTAATGGTGTGTACATTCCATCGACGTTGATCGTGACATTCTGGAGGAGAGGTTTATCAACAGACACATATTAGTATAAAAACGAAGCAAACACATTCCAGATTCCAACCAAAGATACGAGATTTAAGAACATGTCATCGACAGTTACGTTTGCTCCTTCCTCGGCTGGGCATGGGGTTTGTAGTTCCATGGGCTTAGCAAGTTGCTGCCGCGGCTTACGTCGCCACACCTTTTCGAACATGCGCAATTGCAATGCATAATGCCCACCATCGTTCGTCACGTGGTTAACATACTCGACAGCGTAATTCATATATGAAAGAACAATTTATAAAACTCTTAAACGTCCCAGGCGTTGGATGGTTCTATGTAATCGGTGGAATAACGTGAAGTAAAGCTTTTAACTTAATTAAAAGTATATTATCACACAGTAAGAACGCCTAAGATACAATTCACTTGGCTTATACACTGTCGACTGATCAAATAGAACTGAATTACCGGTACCATGGATATGCTAATCGCATACGATTACCTCCATATAGAGACACGGAAAAGGCGTGTATGGGCATACTTAGACTAGTGCGGTCTGGGCGATTTATTTCTTTTTAAAGTTTAAATTAAATAAAAATATCGCGAAATTGAGGTGTTAACACGAAATCCTCCTGTAACCGTGAAATCACCCATGGTTTCGCGTTCACACCCAAATTTCGCAAAACTATAAGTTTTTTATTATTATAATGTAACTGAAATTTCTCTCAATGCATACTTGAATTGTGCCTCATTTACTAGTTCGTAAATGGGCTCCGAGACCGAGACAGAAAATGATAGTATGAGTGAGTAATTTGCATCTTCGAGAAAAAATGTTCGAGAAAAAATGTACGCAAAAAAAAATTCGCATCACAATTGTATTTACATTAGACGCACCAATTTGGCGTGGGTGGAAACAATCGCAAAATTCGAATCTTGTAAATTGTTTTCGTGCTGTTATATCCCTTATAATGACTACATACACGAAAAGATATAATAAAATATCACTGAAACGAGAATTACGCAAAGGCTTCAATCAGGCCGTGGAGAATGACATCTTTGACGTCAGGTGCAAGTTAAATCACCTGGACCGTTTTCTGGGACCGTTTACTCGGTTTGCTCATTAATGTGGGCAAGCTTTGTCAGAGTAATTTCTGAATCATTTATCTGCAAAGAATTGTAATTGAAACACGCAATATTTGTTAATCGCTTACTGAAGTGAGACGAGTGAGGCTTTCCCGCTAATTTTCTTACATGGCCAAGATCATATCGATGTATATCAAGGGCATACTGCCAGTTCGGTATCACTCTTACACAATTTGTGTTATATTGTGTAATATCGTGTTATAATTCTCCAGATTGCAAGCGGGCTTTCTGTTAGCAAATAAATCCTGAGTTTATATTAAGTCTTTCTACTGTCACGGTGGTGATTGGTGCTGCTTGTGTAACAGATAATTTTGCATAATAGATTGTTGTTAGTTTCCATAGTCGCAACGCATCGTCCCCGCAAGCTTATTACTATTGCAATGCAAGTAAATGTAAATACACAAATAAAAAACTAAGTCACCGATTACTACTATTTCCCGAGATTTGTGTGAAATCTTTCATATAAAATGACCAGCATGCACCAAGGTAATTTCTTGCTTCTATAGTTACAAAACCTCTTCCTCGCCTCCACGTTAGAATTTCGTGTAAACAAACAATGTAGTTGTATGCGTATTTAAACTAATTGTATTTAAACCCCAATGCAAGCGTTATTTTACATTTATCACCACATATGTAACGTCTCATAACCGTATCAATAAAATGTCCTATCATTTCCCTGGTAAAATAAGGAGCAGCTAGATTTAGATTGAATGGAAAACTATGGAAGCAAATCGTGCATTCAGATAACACATAGACAGTCTTATCAATTGGCATTGGTTTATATTTCGCTTTTGAAGAAAATGAACTTTCCCGATGAACAATCCACACATTCTAGATTCAGATTTATGAAGGGGATGATGGGGGATTTCAGTCAGGCTAGGGGCGTTTGTAAGAAGCTAAGCTGCCCTCTGTTATAGTTTCATTTTCATATCGCAAAAACTTGATAAAGCAAGTGGGGATACTGTTTTGTTATTACAACATTGTTACACTGCGAGATTCTGCGTCATACGTGAAATCGAACAGGACAAACAAAGGTTCGATGTTTGCGGCAGACGTTTGGCGCAAGTTTTCACACAACTTGCGAGATCTCGCAGTTTAACGGGAAATTAGTATGTTTGTCTGGTCATATTAATATTTTTTTATGGAAAAAGTGACACTAACATAAATTAAGAATCAAGAATTGTACTTTATTTAAGAGTCGGTTTGTTCCAGCCTCGTATCACGTAGTATGTTATGTGGTATCATTCGATATGCTATCTCGTTCGCAGTAAACCACCCAATACTCGCTAAGATCGTCCTCCGAAAATATATCTATCATAACACTGCATGGCAGGTAAACGTTTGATTTGAAACACCGCGAAATCTTGAAAATGGTCTGTACGTTTGGACTATTTGTTAGTAAGTACGAAACGGCCGTGTGCGTTGATGGCATAAACGGACAGAATATCACGCGCACCAGAACGCCGCAAATGGTCCGACCACTACCTGTCACGACGTCCGTTTAAACCATGCATGCAAATATATATATATATAGTCTAGACATTTCGTTACTCAACAGTTTTTGTTTGTAGTCTTTCGAAACCGATGTAATTTTTTTGGCATATTAGATTCCTGTTAGTCCCATAACCTATAAAACACAACTCGAATCATAAAATACACACTAGACTGTCGACAGTCCTCAGATCTAATTTGTTAGTATACTAAATCAGAAAACGCGCAAAGCGTTTGCAAGAAATGTCGCAGGAATTTCAGCAAAGGCCAGAAGCATGAGGACTGCTGTAACGCTTGTAAACGCCCTCACGCGATATTACTTGGTTTTCAACCGGCGCTGAACAGAGAATGAACAGAGAGCGTCGACAAGCGTTAACAGTCGCCATGCCCCCGGTCTACGCTAACATTCCTACGGCATTTCTTGCTAACTACTTCGGAGTTTTCTGATTTAGTATACTAACAAATTAGGCCCGAGGACTGCCGGCAGTCGAAATACAAACTGAAAGTGATACTTGGCGATCTTGTGTTTTTGTTTACTGTCAGCTTTGTGTTTTTACCAAACGGGGCGTGTATGGTACCAATTAAAAAAACACGAATTGGATACCTCAATAATAACAATTCAAACTGGAAAAATACTAAACAAATGCACAAAATATGTAATACATAATTCAGTTTCATTAAGTATATAAATTACTGTGACATTCCAGTCAATTAACGTTATATTTTCACATTCACAAATTTTCAAAAACATCAATTATAGAGGGCGGTGTTCTGGGGGCAATTAGCAAATATCTGTACATGTTATACTTATACTGTACATGTAAACATAGGTAAAACCTCCTCGTATCAGTAAACATTGGAAAAACACCGCCCTCACGTTATTGTAAAAATACTCAATAAGTAAAAATAATATCTATGTACAGAACAAAATTACAAATAATTTCGAATTTGCTTTTCTGCGATAACAATTTATCTATATAAAAAGCTGTATTTGCATATTATGCCCACAGATTAGAAATCTGAAAAATAATGTAATTCGATTTTGGTTAGCACTTGCAATCTTTTTGTTGTTCTTGTTCTTCGCCATTTAAAGATATGTTCCCTGTATTAGACCTCCTGTTACCATCTCCTGGAAAAGTCTGTATAGGAACTCTTTGGCCTGAAAAACAAAACAAAAACGAATTCATTTGCAAGTAAGAATTCCGAAACCATCTCACTTGTTATGCTTTGTCCCCCAATGGTACAGGAGACGGCGGGAAAATTTAGCAAGTGTCAACGATAATGTGTTCAATATTGACCCCGGAATAGTCACGTGACCTGTTTTTCCTCCATTCTCCACTGCCATCACACCCACTGTTACAAATACCATTGTTACATTGCAAAATGGACGCACAGACTTCGAACAATTCGATACGTGTTACTTATCAGCACTACACAAAACTGATTTGCATAGCTCATTTGCATATTCAAGTTATGTTCGAACACCAAGTCCCTATCGGTTCAGTTGAGTGCTCGGAGAAAGTCGAAAACGTTACAATAAACCAATGAACATTGTCATGTGATTTATGACCATAGCCTGACAAGGTCGCGTGAGTTTCGCCCTCCGCGGTGCACCAAACACACACATTTAGTCGGGTCTGATGCCGTTCGGTCGGCGAGGGCGCCACTTACGCCTACATGTCACGCGAGCTTCTACGTATGGGCAATGTTATCGCAGCAGGTCGCTAGCTAACGTTGATCAGTGAGTGACATTTGTTATCGCACATCGGAATGCTGATTAGCATATGACGTCACAGTACGATTGCCTAAATAACGAGCCCGCTATAAATAAACGCATAAACCTACTGCACAATAAATTCGAGTAATTATTCGACCGTACATACCTGTAGCCATGAACAGTTCGTTGACGTTCATCGCTGTTTTGGCTGACGTTTCCATAAACAATAGGCCATTTTCTTCGGCATATGCCCGTGCCTCCTGTTGAATTAAATCAATAATACGTTATTGTTATCTTTGTCATAATTGGTCTCAATAACACGCGATGGGAAACGAATGTGAATATGCCCACCTCAGTAATAACCGTTCTCCCGTCTGCAAGATCTGCCTTGTTTCCAACCAATGTGATAACAATGTTTGGACTGGCCTGTCTTCGCAATTCTCGCACCCACGACTTAGC